GCATAGAAGAGAATTATTATAAGAGGAATACTAGGGGGACCTCATTTGGAATACAAATGAACACCTACAAAGGTAAAATTAGGCACATAAAGATTTACTATCTGTGCGCACACACACAATAAGTGCTCATGTGTGCATATTTTTTCCTTGGTGTACACTTAGTACCCAAGTGGTGTTTCTTAAACATATTCTTATTATAAATCAAAAGTAATGGATATTGTGCTCGGAGAGCCCAAATATGCTTTGTTAGTAAATTATTGTTTATATTTGTGGGTTCTCGATGTTATTGCTTTACAAAAATCGTTTAGATTTTCTTGAATAGAGTCCAAAATGCTAAAAAAATCGACCCGGGCAAAGAGATCTTCCCTTTGGAACCCGTCAGGCTCCCGGACCCCCGCTACGAATTTGTTGCATTGTTGAAGGAGCGTGTATTTTGCACCTCTTAATTCGTATGACAACGTCAATTCAAATTCTTATGTGATCAAAGCAAACTACATCACACAAAATAATTATATTGATGATACTAAAATCACCAACAATATATAGTCGGACAAAGGGAATAAGTCTTCTCACTATCTTATTGAATATTTTATTTAATACTCATGGATTCTAAGATCCTCTCTCGATAGAGAGAAAGAGCTTAGAGAGAAAATGAGTGTATAGTGTGAAAATATGTGATGTATTCATATTATATTACGAGAGTGTCTGTGTCTCCTGCGATCCATATGAGGCTGGTGGGTATGGTTTCCCTCCTTCTTCTCCTTTGGCAACTCTCGGTTACGTCAATTTTTCCTTTTACTTCTTCCCACCCCTTCTCCTTTCTCTTTTTTTATTATTGATTTTTAAAACTTAATTTAATTTAATTTAATTTATTTAACTAAAAAAATTGAACATTCCATTACAATTAAATTAAGGATTACATTAGAATTTATACATTAAAAAAGTTTGGAAAAATAATTGAGACAATAAAAAATTAGTACACAATTAAAAAACTTCGAAAAAACCTAAACATAATCTTCATATTTAAAAAAACAAAAAACATATAAAAACTTACTCATCATCTACAATTGGTGGAGAAAAATGCCACAAATGCTATACGCCTATACCAAATCGACACGTAGGTGGAGGTGCATATGCTGGTTGTGTAATGCAAAGAAGTTCAAGTCTTGTTGCACGATGTTGATGCTTGAAAAGTTGGATTTTATATACTTTTAAAAATATGTTTTTTCTACTTTTTATAGAAAAAATACTTGTTTATAAAAGAATTTTACAAAATATAGTTTTTGAGACTTAAAATACTTTTATACTTAAAAAGATCCTTTTTATGCATAAAAATGTCAATATATACACAAGGTGAGTTTTAGATACAAATGGGTGAGAATTAGGCCAAGTGGATACCCAAATGGGTAAACTTGGACCCAAAGTCACATTTTTTCGGGTTTGAAAACTAATTTAAAAATAAAACTTGTTAACATTTCCCATTATTTTAAATTTAGGATTGATCATTAGGGTAGTAGTTATTAATAATAGGAAAGAATCAAAACTTGTCAATGGAGCATAGGCCTATGGAATTTCTTTGCAGGGGCAGTTGATGGCCCTGCCCCTAGAAGTCACCTAAACTTGAATCAACACTTATTGGAATGGAATCTATCACACCAAAGGAGGACAATCCTATATATCCTATATATATATATATATGTAAAAGAGGGTTTCAAAGTTGTGGTGACGACACGTGTCATGCCACACGTGCATACTAATGACACGTGTCCCGCCACACGTATATCACATGACACATGTACGTCCATCCATGCATGTGAGTTAATTTCGTATTAAATAATTCGTATTTTTATTTTTTATAAACTCTTCACTTTCCAACAATAAAAAACTATTATTTTTATTAACTTTTTATAAACTCTTCACTTTCTGACTATGTTAAAACCAATTTATTGTTTTGACGTATCTTAAAAATATATGCACGATTATTTTATAATTTTAGAAAACTTATGTATATAATTTATTGATTAAAAAGATGTTACTTATAATTTTTAAAATTATCCATCATATCAAAAAAAAAACTAATTACATATAAATTTTATCACACGTGCATCTTTATTAAATTCATAACATATTTTAGTTGTTTTTCTTATTACATTACTTATTTTACTATATTTTTTTCAGCAAACTAAACAAAGTAAAAATTTAATTGAAGGATTACATGTGGCACATACAAATATGCATTATCTAATGATGTGACATTCCTTAATTGATCTATTCGAGATTTTTATATTAATTTTTATTAATTAAAACAATTTTCATTATTATTTTATTTGATGACCATTAATTTTGCATAAAATGTTTATGTCATGGAGGCACTACACCTCCCCACATGTCATGTGGCACATGTATATATTTATTATTATTAAATTTTTATAAAAACTTCACTTTCTTACATTAAATAACTTATATTAAATTTTTATAAATCCTTCACTTTCTTACACTAAATAAGCATTTTTTTTGAATGCTACACTAAATAAGCATTATTGTTGAACAAAAAGAAAATTATTGTTATCAAATTTTCAAAATAGTATTTTAATTTTTTTTATCAAATATAAATAATTATTAAATACAAATTTATTTCAAACTTTTTATCCTATTACATACTACAAATAAAAGAACCCACCATTTATTTATATTCTTATTTCTAACAAATAACTATATTTTATTAACTCTATATTTATTAACTATATATTTTACTTCAAAATGTTTTTTTTGGCAACATTATTAAATTTTTTATATAATATTTCAAAACATTAAATTCAATAAACTAGATTT